ACCACCTCTTCTCTCATCATCTCACATTCACAATAACCTTCTCATAATCCTATTAAACAATCACTTCACCATTAGATGTGAGAGAAGTATTAATTTGAAACATAATTTGAGAACCTGAACCAGGTCACATTTCACTTCTCAAACTCTATTTTGTGAATTTTGAAAGAAAATAAGAACATGATGTATCATTTGGGAATAATTCTTCAGAAAAGATGGGTTTTAAGAAGCATTTATTGAATCAGCTAAAAAACTGCAATTTAAAATTCTTTCTCCAAAAGAGAGCGCATCTCATTAATAGCCTGCTTGGTCTTGCGCATGCTTGGAAGATTAAGCTGATTAACCTTCTTCTCCAAGTGGAACAAGCTTTCAGTAGCTGCAGTACGATAGTTCTGAAACAAATAAAAATTTTAATAAAGTCAAACATACACTATCTCACAATATCATTGGCATTGGTGTTCTGAGAACCAGGTTCTACCCAATTTGGGGTCATATAGCTACAGCAGGGAGTAGTAAACGGATCAAAATCAAATGGAGTATGGGGAAGAACACTTCCAGGTCCTTCTTCACCATTACCAACCTTGTTTTCAACATTGATTGCCTGAAAAATGAAAACTGTAAGCCTAGCTGAGATATATCAAAACATTCACCTTTCCAATTTCGCTTTGAAGAGTCTTGACCATTTTGAAACATTTGTATGAAAAATCAAATGTTTCATTGATCTCCGAGACTTCACGAGCTTGATTAGTAGCAGTCATGATCTTGACTTCCTTAAAAGAATCTATGTAGTTTTCTAGAATAAATTTTGAGTGAAAACGGATTAAAAATGAAATGGGAAGGGTGAGGATGGGGTGGTGGTGGGGGGAAAGCCTGCCGAATTATAAAAGAGGAAGAGCCAACATATTGACAGCCGGCTATGAAAAGCATGAGCATTTGGTGAGTCAGAATGGTATTCATTAATATGATAATAGACATAGAAGCATTGAAAAGTTTCATTTCTAAACATCAATAAGCCTTTTATTATATGTATACACTCAATGAACCTTTCATCTAAAACTCAAAATGAATATTATTATGAATATAGTGTATGGTGTGTATGTGTATGTGTATGTGTGTGTGTGTGCATGTGAGTAGGCATGTGTATGTCTTAGATGGATATTTCTCATAATAATTAACATTATTATATAATATGAAGGAGGATACATCAAATTTATCTAATTAAACCTCGAAAAATTCAAATATGGGAAAAGGCTAAACTCCATTATAACGCATAAAAATAAAATAAACATGACTATGCTCATTCTCATCCTTCTTCTTTGCTTCTCAACCTTCATCCCTCCCTCTCGACATCCCACCCCCTTACCAACCCCGAAAAAAAAGAAGGTGGAGCCATTCAATGACATCTGGATGACCTGGCCGCCTTAATCTTGCTCCGAGCTCACACAAAGAAAATGGTGTCATGTGAGATGAGACGAGTAACAGACCCAAATTATATTTTAATAAATTCTTTGAATAAAACAAAACCAACAACACAGCAAAAAAAAAATAGAATTATGAAAATGATCTCGACATTATTGTTTATGGACGGGGAGGCGGAGGAAGAGTAGGTGTCGGAAGGAGAGAGAGAACCTGGGAAGGAAATGAGAATGATTTGATAAATCATAATATTGTATGGGAATTGTGGTGTTGTTGAAAGCTGAAGATAAACAACGACATTCAATTGAAACATAGTTAAGATTGGTGAGATTAGTGAATGTGGTGTGTGAGTGTTTGGACTTGACTATATAAGCTCAAATACGAACGAGATGTCTTATCTTGTAAAATGAGATGAAAGTTGTTTTAATTGAATTTTAAATGGTACAGACAGCTTTCAGTCGACTGATGTGCAGTCTGTTGTCAGCAAGAAAACAACTGACAACAATACATTGCAAGAATGAAGAAGTCGAAAGAAAAAAATGGGAAACAATAGATAGTCCGAGACTATCTCATGACTGTTATTGTGTGGAAGAAATAAGAATTGTTCAAGAGAACAGTTTCTCTCTAGAATCGTCTGTATTTTCATTTTTATTCAATCTATTTGAAATTTCTCAATATATGGACGTCAGATGCGGAAAGAGAATTGTAGTAAGAAGGAAGTCCAAAGAGAGAAAAGGAGAAAATCAGAGAGAGAGGTAGATAGAGAGAGAAATCAAAAAATGGTTAAATGTAATGAAGTCAGCTTAATATCAATATAATAATAATAATAATAATAATAATAAAAATCATATTTGATAACAATGAACCGACTGAAATCATTTTATATTAAATAAATTCATTTAATATGCTTTGCTCAATTTAATATATTTTCAGCTTTTCACTATTGAATATGAATAGAATATGCGAAAAGGTTCAGAGAAATGTATGTCCGTCAGTCGGTTGGTATGAGAGAAGGAGAGTGATTGAAGAAGAAGGTAGGAACACCATGTTATACTAATTCAAACGTATTTGATGAACAAAACCATTTCTTCGTATTTCTCTCTCTCATCTCTCTTTCTCTCTTTTTTGATCAAAGATGCTCTGCACATGCATCATGCACCATGCACTTTGACTCTGATAAATTGAAATAGCTTAAATTAGCTTTGTTAGCAAATAGGCTGAAATTTATTCGAGCTCAAAGATTATTGGATGAATAGGATGGAGAGCTTTTGAAGATATGTAAATGAACTGTATATATAAGGAATGGTCAGACGGGGGAGGGGGGGGAATAAATGGGAATTAGGAAAAATTATGCCATTATATGGCTTCATTCTTCAACAAATATGGAACGAGATGAATATAATCATTTTGCCGAAATCTGTCATGCATTATTATATATATATATATAGATAGAGAGAGAGAGAGAGAGAGAGATATCTATATATGCGGCATTTATAACTGAAGGGGTGGCATTATGAGGACAATATCATCTGTGGCTATTGGAATAAACCTCAACAGCGAAATATTATTAATAACAAAATAAATATAAATATATATTATATCTATCTATCTATCTATCTATCTATCTATCTAACTCGTCTATCCATATATAGAGATATAGACATATCTATCTATCTATACATGCATAGTATAGAAGATAAGAAATGGTATAGTTATCTTAAGAGTGTGAGCTTCATTGTTACATTCTCTATCTCACTTCCTTAGTTAGTTGAGATAAAGATAGATTCTAGAGAGAGAGAGAGAGAGATGATGATGTTGATGAGATGAAGCAAAGTTTCAAAATCCAAGTTGTGAGATGTGTGTTGTAGAATTGAAATTCGCACCTAATGGCCTTCTAAAGAAAGTTTCTCCTTCACTAAGTGCAAACAAATCAATCGTACTAAAAGCATACTTTTTATTCAATTTCATTTACACTTTTCATTTTCATTCCAACTTCATTTTCACTTTCTTCCATCTTTAATTATTTTCAATCTAAAAGATTTTCGGTCTATATATCAATTGAGGAAAAACAGAAATGAGGCAAACGAAGGAGAGGAGTAAGACTAGAGATTCGTGAAGCCATTTCATTAGAGGGCAAAATGAGGAGAAAAAAAGTGAAAGAAAATTGAAGAAATGAGCTTGAGAGAGATGAAACGTAGTATGTAAGAAGTCGACGCTGGTGCAACTTTTTGCCCAAACTTGATTTTTACACTTTTTCACTATTTTAATGCACTAAATCATCAAAAATCATGC